GCCTCTATCCCACAGGAGAAAAGATCCCTTAGCTGCAGGAGTGACCTGGTCTAGGGAAGTAGCTGGAGGGAGTGCCGCACCACTCTCACTCTCCAGGGTTCTTTAAGGGACAGCTCCTGGGCCAGCCCTACCTTTCCTCCCTCAGCCACCTGCCCAGCACCTCCTTCTTCCACTCCCTTCCTGGGGGCAGCCATTCTCTACGGCATTTAAGGCACACATTATCAAACTGCTCTTGTGAAAGCAAAATCTTCTCAACAGAACTGGGTAGGGATACCCTTTTATGAGAACATTCTAGAACTGGAGTGGGGTAGTATGGTTAGCCTTCCATACAGAACCTTTAAAATCACTGTATGAGATGGTCCCGATGGGAAGTTGCCCGCATGAGCCGCACAAAGGCACAGGCTGAGAAGCAGTTTTCAAGGAAAGGCAGTGACCCACGCTCAAGTCAGCACAAGAGCTGGAGGCAAATGCCACTCCACAACTCTGGTCCTACACCTTCTCCCTATTTTAAAGCAGGAGTCTCTTGTCTGCAGTCCCCACTGGAATGGGAAACAGTAATGGGCTTTTGCCTCCATCTTCAGCTTAATGATTGCCATGGCTTTGGAGTCACAGACCTGAGTTTAAAACCCGGCCCAGCCCCTCACTAGCTTGGGACTGGGGACACATCTGGTTAGCTCTCTGAGCCTGTTGCCCATTTGTAAGATGGGGGTAATATCTACCTAAGATTGTTGTAAGGCTGGGGTGAGAAAACATGTACAAAGAGCACAGTGCTGGGTGTTAGAGCTAGAACTATTGTGTATCTGCATCCTCACACAAGGCACCTGAGAGGGACCCTGCCTTTCTAAATTCATGGCACTTCACACAAGTCTGTCTGTACAGAGGCTCAATAAATGCTAACTCAGTGACTGTCCTTATCCAGGTTAGTGCCTATGGATTCATCACAAGCAACTACTGGAAATTTTCCGACCACTATTTCGAACGAATAAAGAAGCCACTGATATTCTATGCAAACCACGATCTGTCCCTGGAAGCCGCCCTGTGGAGGGACTTGCACAAGGCCGGCATCCTTCGGCTGTACCAGCGCTGACTCTGTGGCACCCAAGCCCTTTGTTCTTGCAGAGCTGTGGCCCTTGTCCCAAGCGGCCAAAGCCACCTTCTTATCTTTTCAGCTTTTGAGAGGGGCTCCAACTCCCCCCAACCCTCCCCTTCTTGCCTACAGAGGACATCAAGAGGTGGATTTGTGACTGTCACAGAAGCCTGTTCATTGTGGGACACTCCATCTTGTCCTTGGCTCATCCAAGAAAACTCCCCTCTGGGTCTGAGATAGACGTCCCAACCTTGGTCAAACAAAAAGGGACTGCTCTGCTGATTTGTTTTAAAACTGAAGATAACACTCCCAAGATGATAGTGACCCTCCCTAGCAAGGGGCAGGCAAACTTCAAAGCTAAGCATCTCAAAGGCAGTTGCTACTGAGTGACTTCAGGAAGTCAGTGGAGTGACTCAGGGCCTCTCGGTTAACCAAGGTCAAGCAGCAGTTATAGGCAAACACACTCCCAGCCAAAATCCTACTAGCGTGTCCAGCCCCAAACTCCAGAGCAATTCAACTCAAGGACATGTCCTAACCTTTCTGAGAACATGACCAGCCTACTTCTGCCCCATGATCAAGTGGGAGCACAAAAAGCAGAATGTAACTTGAAACTGGATAATTGCATAAATGATGGATGACCACTTTCTTTTTTTGTGTTGGGGGAAGTAATACACCATGCAGGGTGTTTAGCATGGAGATCATTCAAGAGAATTCAAGAACCATGGGAAAGTTCTGGTATTTGATGGGGGTCAACTGCAGAGGCTGCCTGCCTCTGAAGGATGTCCCATTAGATGTATTACCACCTTGTCATTATCAGGTAATGAACCCTCACTGGGTATTAAATATCGTGGCTTCAATAATGTGAACTTGGTTGGTAGGCAGTTTCATTTTAGACAGACATGGGCTTCTATCAGAAGTGTAAGGAAGTCTCACCCAACCAAGTTATCACCAGATGGCCCTGAAGCAAGCCCGGGATTTACTGTCCTGACAAATAGTGGCTTTCAACAGTCTGATGCACTACACTGTGCAAGGTGCTGGGTGGGGGTGGGGGGAGGGTGGCATGGTCCTCCACAGGGCTGGCTGGCAAGAGCCTTCTCAAGGTACCATCCATCACCACTGGTTAATACACCAAGGCCCAGCACCTGGCCTCTGGTTGTGGTTTTGGAAGGCTGATCCTATCAGCATGTTTAACAAGAAGGATGAACTGTCACCAGAATCAAAATACTGCTTTAGAAATTCAGAGACATGATAAACAGAATGGACATTTGGGCTTTAATGACTAAAGCAGCAACTTGAGGAAACCATGGCTTCCTGGACAGCAAGGTTTAGACTAAAGGGAAGTAGTGATGAGTTGAGTTACTGCATTAGGCCAAGGCCTCTCACTCACTACCTTGGCAACACCAAACTGTTCCTTGGTCTTGAGGAAAGCAGTGTCCCAAGTATGTTTCTCTGGATAGAATAACTATCTAGAAAGCATGTCGTCAAATGTGGGAAACATATGGTACCGATGACAGTCAGTCCATTCTGGTATATCTTATAGAGTGACAGCAAAGAAACCGGATTGCCTCAGTAACCCAGTGTTGCCCAAACTTAGGACTCTTGACCCTCTTTTATCCATAACACTTTACTTTTCTCTATTCCCATCACATTTGTAGTTATCAGACCCTTTGTCAATCCATTAGATTTCAGAAGTGCTGTGTTTGTGGGTGGCAACCCATTAGAGAGGTACAAAATCAACTTAGTGGGAAACAAAATCTGATTGCATCCTGTGTAATTGTTAGCCCCAATTATTATTTGGTGAAACTTTCACTTATCTAAGAATGTTTACTGAGTCAGAATAAAATACTGTTCTCACACGTGGGTGTCAATCTGAAATTCACAATGCTAGAGAGTCAGTTTTTTACATTTTTATTTGCACTTCAAAATTTAAGCCCAAGACACATTGACTTAACAGGAAATCCACTGAGAAACATTTTTCTAGGCTGAGCATCTGTTTCCCCTTGTCTCCCCCAACAGAGCATGTACATGTTAATTACTTTCAATTTACAATCACTGCATTTCTGCCAACACATGAGCTATACCCAGATCACCTAAACTGGAGTTCTGAACGTTGTTAGTTAGCCCCTAATTTCACTAACTGCCCAAGATTTTCTGGGATAAACTCACTGTCACCTGAATTCTTTGGCTACTTTTGCAGATGAAGTCCAAAGAACTCTTAAATGATTCTCCTTTTCGGGGATTATTTTATAGGCATTAGCAATTAGCAGCAGAGGCTGTGCTGATCCCATCTGGGATCATTGGGAGATAACCTGTAAAAGCAAAGGAGATTCATTTGATATAGCAGCCAACCAAGGGACTCAAAACTGAAGGCTAAATTTAAAGAATAAACTACTTTAGAGAACAAAATGCAATCACACGAGGCTGGCCCAGTGGCGCAAGCGGTTAAGCGCGCGCGCTCCGCTGCAGCGGCCCGGGGTTCACCTGTTCGGATCCTGGGCGCGCACGGACGCACTGCACATGGCGGCGTCCCGTATAAAGTGGAGGAAGATGGGCACGGATGTTAGCGCAGGGCCAGTCTTCCTCAACAAAAAAAAGAGGAGAATTGGCAGATGTTAGCACAGGGCTGATCTCCACACACACACACACACACACACACACAACGCAATCACAGAGACGCTCATTCTAACCAATCACCAGGCCTGTGTGTGTGCTGAAGGCACAATCAGACAGTTCCACTGCAGGCAGTCAAGTTGCAGATGACTTGGCTGCTTGTTTTCAGGAGGCAGTGCTGTGAGGGAGCAGTGTCTGGAAAGTGGCCAGGGGAGAAGAACTATGGGGTACTGGGGACATTTATATTCAACCCCGCTCTGGATGTCACACTTTTAAAGTCAAACCTAGAGGTTTACTTGAATCCTGTGGAGCAGTCAAGTCTACTCAAGCCGACTCTAACCCAGGAAGTAGATTTCCCCACTTGCTAACCGTCCTTGCACTTTGTCTTACTTACAGGCTGTAAGCCGCTGGGGCCAGTTTTCAGGTCATTAAATCTCACCCCAAATACAGCTTCCTTGGTGACCAAACAAATATGACCTTAAATATAAACAGCCCGCACATACCTCCCAATTTCAAAAGAAAAGGCAATCTGTGCCCACTTCAAGCCTGACATTTAAATGGGAACAAAGCCAGACACCCTCCCTGCCCAGCACCACTTTGCTACTTTCTTGCTCACACGCCAGCCAACTCAGCCCTCTGCTGCCAGCCTTGCCATTCAGACAGGATCTGAGCTAAGCTGAGAAGAGGTCCTGGTGTTAACAAAGCACCTGGAAACCAAACAGCTCTGCTAGTGCCATGGTACCTCTTCTTTCCTGAATGTCAGGATACGGTGCAGAGGCAAGAGGTCAGAGTCCTTAAATATTCTCACTGCCACAGCTGGCATACATTTTACATTCCTGTCTGTTTCAAAGAGCACATTCATTTTCTTGAAATATGTGACAAGCACTCTTTCATTCTGCAATAAGAGTATAAACCAAATCTGGGCCACTTGTCCATTTCTGCCACCTCTTATAGCCTGTATCCTCAGAGCCATTAATCAAAGGGCTTAGAGCGTGACAGGGCAGCTACACCACTGGTTTCCAAGTTGCAGACGGATGATGCACTAGACAGGGGTCTCAGCAGGGTATATGCAATTCCCTTTGGATTCCATTCAATTTGATCCCTTATAAAGCCTGAACCTCTTTTAAGAGCACAAGGACAAACCCTTAAGCCTCAGAATAGATTGTCTTCCCTCAGTTGAGATTTTCAGACAGGGATAACTAACCATCATAGGTTTGTGGGGCTTCTTAGGGACATGTAAGATGTAAATGAACAGCTTACAAATAATAGGAGAGCAGTCATTTCACTTGCTTCAAGCAAATCAAGTTCAGTTCTGTCTCACACACTGCAGACATCTAGCAAAGAAAACAAACCTATGTTAAAGTCTGATGTGCTACACTGTGCAAGGCGGGGGGGCGGTCCTCCACAGGGCTGGCTGGCAAGAGCCTTCCCAAGGCACCATCCGTCACCACTGGTTAATACACCAAGGCCCAGTGTATTAGTGGGCCTTGGAAGGCCACTTAGCACAACCCTAAATCCAGGGCAGGGGAAGCAAAAAGAGCACCCTACCTAAGCCCATTCGGAAGGTCTTATCTATTACACGCACGAGAAAAATTCCACTTCGGGCCAGCGCAGCTGACACGGTGCTGCTGCCAGTTAGTGTCTTCTTCTGGAGGAGGCTTTTCAGCCTCAAACTGCAGGTGAGACTGGAGCTGGCAAGGAGAAATTGCAAAAGAAAAACCTACTGAAGAAGATAGACACAGGTATCTCTCCAATAGCTCACTTTTAAATCAGGCCTACATTTTCTATACAGCAAACTTGGGAAACTGAGTCTCAGACATCCAAATTCCACAGAAAGACCTTTCTTTGCTTTCAGCCAGGGATAACTTGACATCATCATGGACTCAGCTCTCCCAATCCACCAGCCCACAGCAGTGACACTCAGGGCACACGCAAACTATTTTTTCCTTACCAAATTCTGCTTTACTTCCCTCTTGAGAACTCTCATTCAATCTTGTCTACTTTACTAGAATGTGCTTTCCCTCAAAGGCAAAAACTGTTTATATCTAGTGCCTAGATGTAGCCAGTATCCCAGACCTAACACACTGACAGTTCCTGCTGTTTTAAAGACAAGGTCTCTCCCAGTACAAAGTGTCTGATAGCGGAGCATGGGGTATATATTCTAGTCTCTCTCTAGTGTTGGTAAACTGCCTGAGACAGTGCAGATTACTCCTTCCAGCCAGCCACTGAAGGCCAGCTGCACAAAAGGTACCTGATGCCAGGAGGCAACTACATCACACAAGGTCTTTTCTCCTTCACTCACCTCTGTGTACAAAAAGATCCTGCAGAGCAAGCATGTCTTTCAGTTTTTTAAGATAGAGGATTACAGATCTGCCCTGAGAGCTACTTAAAAATAGCCAGTACTATAATCTTGCTGTAATAAAAATCCCTGAGCTAAAAGTAGATCAGATCATCTAATTGTTCTTACATGCCCGCTCTTAAACTGCCACACGATTCTCGGGCCCCACTCCAGAGCCATTCCCATCCATGCCGGAGGTGGGTTCCAGGGATGCGTATGTTTTAACACTCTGCAGGTAGTTGTGATCTATAGCCAGGTTTGAAAAGCAAACCTAACCCTGTTTTACAAATGAAGAATAAGGCTCTGGTGCAGTTATCCGATAACAGGCTGAGACTAGAGCCCAGATCTCTCAAGTTAGTCTAATACACGGTTTCAACCTCAGCTCTACTGACATTTTGGGGGGATAATTCGTTGTCACAGAGGCTGTCTTGTGCATTGCAGGATACTTAACACCCTCCACTCCCAGTTGAGAACCACCGGTCTGAGTAACCAGTTGTTCAATTACATACCAATAAAGCTGAAGAAAAAAATAATGCCCTGCCAAATCATATCAATTGGCCATATTTTCATGGTTCTGCAAAAAAAAAAAAAAACTTAGCTGTGTAACTCTGGGCAAGTGAACTCACTAAGCCTCAGTTTATTTACTCAGCAGCAGATTGAGGAAAATGTCTACCTCACATAGCGTTGTTGTAACAAATACTGTTTTGTGAGACCACTTGGCAAGGAGCCTAGCAAAGAGAGTTCCATAATTAGTTCCCTTATGCGGGCTGTAACAATCCTGGAAGACCCACACATCCTTGAAATCTTAACAGACCAATAATACTTAAAGGGATCCTAACCTATACAATTCTGTGCAAGAACTAAAATCTTACCATTTATAGAAACTTCATCACAAAGATCCTTACACTCAGCATCCTAAGATGATGGTTTTGCCGTGACTTTTTCAAAGTCCACAGCCAACACCTTTAATCTAAAAGAGAAATATGGATAACACACTTCATTGTAACAGAAACAGTCTTAAGTATTTACTCTCAAGATTGGTATTTAAAAAGCTGAGCCTCAGAAAGTCAGAACTCCTCACAAAAGATGTCCTTTCAGACAGGGATAACTTTAAATCATCCTTGGCTCAAGCACTAACAAACATTTCCAAATCCCAGCCAACTGAAACTCACTTTCCAAAACTCCCATTCATCCCTGTATGCCGTGGCATCCATTTTGGTTTCAAATAGTGACACCTAGTGGCCCCAATTACACTGGCACAGACCCTCCTCTTTTCTGGATTCTAGGCCGATTTCTCACCCTAACTGAACTTATGTGTCAACATGTATTCACAGAATTTGAACCGTACGTGATAGGCCTTCACACCACCTGGGCTTCCTCATTTCTGGCGCCCACCCAGGTCCTGCCTGCACCCATTCTTACTCATTTCAGGGCTCCATTCATTACTTTTAAGATTCAACCTGCAGGTCTGCTCTCACCATCTCTGCAGACACCAAAGACCTGCGGGGAAAGAAAAAAGTGAGCATGTAAGGTTCACTGTAAAACTACGGGGCGGCCCCCTGGCTTAGCAGTTAAGTGTGCGCGCTCCGCCACTGGCGGCCCAGGTTCGGATCCCAGACGCGCACCAACGCACCGCTTCTCCGGCCATGCTGAGGCCGCGTCCCACATACAGCAACTAGAAGGATGTGCAACTATGACACACAAGTATCTACTGGGGCTTTGGGGGAAAAAAAAAAGGAGGAGGATTGGCAATAGATGTTAGCTCAGAGCTGGTCTTAGCAAAAAGAGGAGGATTAGCATGGATGTCAGCTCAGGGCTGATCTTCCTCAAAAAAAAAAAAAAAAAAAAACTACGGCTTTCCAAAGTTTACAATTCCATGACTACTCTCTGTGAATTAAATACTGATTGGGGCCATCCTCCGGGCAGTCCAGGACGAGTCAAGTACCCAGACGTTACACTGTCGCAGTGAATTAAGAACCGCCACTGTCAGCCCGCCCCGTGGGCGGACCGGGGACACACGCGGGGCCGCAAGCTCAGCACACGGGTGGCTGTGCAGCGCACCGGGTGGCACAGGCTGGAAGGACCGCTCTCCCGCGGGAGGGGCCCTCCGACGCCAAGGGTGGGCCTGGACTCTCTCCCCTCAGTCGTCAACACTCGCGCCGTTTCGGAAGCCTTTTCTCACCCAGTATCTCAGTTAATCCCAACCACCCTATGAAAACGGAGACCGCTCTATCGTCACCACTTCCCCCCTGAGGAAGGGGAGGCAAATTGTACTAGCGCCGTGTCAAGGAAGACTCCGTTTTCCCACCTCCGCAGTCTTACCATCGTCAAAAGCCGAAGGCTGCTCGCCACGCTCGCCCCGCAGGAGGCCGCCATGACTTCCAGCCATGCGGCCGGCCTCGGAAAGGGAGTAGGGCTTCGCCTGCGCACAAGTCTTCCCGGCAGTGTCGCCGGAGCTCTCGCGATGTTGAGAAAAGGCTGATGGGAAATGTAGTCAAACCACCGCAGCAGGGGACGGTCGCGTCCTCAGCGCAACTCTGGAGCCCGGGGTAAGACGGTGGCCGCCACGAGGGACAGTAGAGAGCCCGGGGTGGGAAGCATGATCTGTGAAGAGCCATGGCCGTTAGAAAACGAAGATGGACGGTCACTTCAGCCACAGTCATTTATCTTCTGGGGGCACAGATTGTCCCTGGCCCGGACTCGGGGAGCGCGCAGAAACTTCGAGGGGGCCTCACGAGGGGAACGGAAGAGGAAACTGAGTCCGGGCTGGATTTCCTTCTTAATTGCTCTGCAGATTTCATCTGGGGTAGTTGGTTGCGTTCGTGAAGGGAAGGGACATTCCTGGGGAATTGTTCGACATCCGGCTCTACTGTTTTTCAAGTTGGGGCGAGAGCGGTGAGGCCCGGGCGCGGCGGCAGAGGGCGCCCGAGAGCGGCGGGCCGGCTGTGCGCCTGGGCCCCAGGGCTGCTCCAGCTACCCCGGGGTCAGCTCCGGATACCCCAGGCGTTTCCAAATACCCCAGGTGGCTCTAAAAACCCGGGGCTGCTCCCAAGACCCCGGGCGGCGCTAAATTCCCCTGAACCCGGGTGCGAGCCCCTCGCTGCAGGTCCCGCTGTGTGGCTTTAATTCCCATAAGGAAAAAAATTAAATTATGAAAAGAACAGAGAAGAATGTAACACCCACTGCTTCTTCTGACTTACTTTTCAGGCAGCCACCCTGGCTTCGTTTTTGAAGTAACATTTGGGCAAAACAACAACTAGAGTCAAGGCCAGAGTTTACACCTATTTGGCAATTGGTTTAAATTTGCAAGACCACGGAACCTTTTCTGCATTACCCTCTCCCCACTCTCATCAGCCCCTTAGCAATGATCTCAGTCGCATTTCGTCTGGGTTATATTATTCCGTATGTGGTAATATGTTGCAGGTGCTTATTTTCAAGTTCCCCCATTTATTTTTGTTTGCCTCCTTTAATTTGATTGTAAGCTCTTCAAGGCAGAAGTCTCTTTTAATTATTTTTTTTCTTTTTAATTTCCTCGCAGTGCCTAGGTGGTATTCCGATGCCTCTGCTCATAGCAAGTACTCAAGAAATAATCATTGACTCTCTTAGCAAGAACTTCTAACTTGTCAAATTGGCCCTTAAGTTTCTCTACCTTACCCTTGAAGACAAATTATCTTGTATAATTCCGAAAGAAAGAATGGGTTCTCTCCCTGCAAACTACGTGTCTTTCATTTCCGACTTGTAGAGGGAATTCCAAGTGTGGAATTTGCCGAAAGCTGCTTGTGAAACTGGTAGGCAAGTGATCAGTTGCAGGCACAACGGTAACGACAGCTAATACTTTGCGGCACTTAGCATGTGCCGTTCACTGCTTGAGTACTTTCCCTGTATTCATTGCTTTCCTCTGCACCACTGCACTGGGAGTGCACTATCACTAGCCCCACTTTACCCATAAGGAAACAGAAGCATCGAGAGATTAGGTAAATTGCCCGAATTCTCACAACTAGTAACTGGTGAAGCAGGGTTTGAGCCCAGCCTGTGAAGTCCGTGCTTTTACCACTAAGTTGTACTGCCCCGTATATATATAAATTGGTGTGTTATATAAGGGTTTGGGGTTTGAGGGAGGCCGACAGGGGAGAGAAGAGAGTTTTTGTGTTTGTAGGGGTGGTTAGGGATGAAATTGGACAGGGAGTGGCACCTGTTCCACTGTTTGGAGCCACTTTGTGGCAGGAAGAAAGAGGATAAGAGGCTGCCGGAGCTGCTCTGGGAAACACTCTGAGGCTCTGGGCTCCAGCAGGGCTCTCTTGGGTCCCACACTAGGTTGCCACCCAGTGTGCGGTGAGAGCCATTCTTCAGAGCTCCTGAAGGGCCGCTGTGCCATAAGCCACAGTGTAGCTTTTACACCTGCTGGGCACCAGTGGAACAGCAGCAGGCTCAAGGTAGATGGGCTGTCACGGGCTGCTGGGCAGTGGCCAAGAGGCCAGAGCAAAATGCAGTGAGAGGCCATGTGCCTGAGCACATGTCAGGTACACTGCTTAGGCAATTTGGAAATAACTGGGAAAGACTTCCAAGAATGCATCAGAATTCCTGAATGAGCAGGCAAGGGCTCAGAGCTATTGAGACTGAAGTATAAATGTTGTGATTTCATTTGCCCTCATTGCTGGTGAGGTCTAGGACATCTGAGTTTTACATACGGTGGAATTATATTTATTGACATGGAAAGAGTGACATGGTCTAGTGGTAAGTGACGGAAGTAGATCACAAGCTGACCAGGGCAGCTTGTGGTGCCAGTCCCAGTGCCGTTCAGGGACGAGGCTCTGAGTGCAAAGAGGAGATCTAGTCAGCTGGCCTGCTGTGTTCAGGTGGTCAGCGGGCCTGAGCTCCATTCACTAACAGGATTTAAGACATGGTATGGAAACCCAGAGTAATAGAAAACAGTCTTTGGAATATTGAAGTTAATGTCTTAACCTGGAAAGGAGTCTTTGATTTTATTAGTAAGACCATGAAGGAGGGTAGGTATATTCCAAGCAGGTGGCTGCTTACATTGGGAACAGCTGCAGCAGTGCCGTCACCGGAAGTTCATCCCATGGATGGCCGGCACTGTTAGTTGCCCAGTGTGCAGCTGTTCTTCCTCCGTCTTCTACACAGAGCACTACCGGGCAGCTGGGAGCTTCGGGGGAGGCAAGCCCCTCCCCAGCCCTAAGGGGGGGATCTTGATTAGTCTGCACCAGACCCATAAGATAAATCTCTTCCCTTTGCCGGGAATTGTTCTAGGAAAAAGTCTATGATGCAATTCTGCTAAGTTTGGGAAAGTTTTCTTGTTTTTAAAAACAACAGCCTCTCTTCTGGCTTTGGGACATCCTGAAGATGTGATGCTTGAGACTGCTGCAGCCATCTTGCATCTGTGAGGCTTGTTTCAAAGCAAGAGCTGAAGGTCTGTGATGGCAGAGTGGAAAGAAGAAAGAGCGAGTCCTTGATGATGCTTTTGAACCGCTGAATAACCGGTCCTGAAGCTCCCTAACTTCAGACCTTTTGTTTTGATTCAGAAACACATATTTTTACATTTTCTGAATGTGGGATGCATCTTATGAGCAATGGCATCTTAGTTTCAGTGCAATACAGAATGTGACATGTAAAAAAGAAATCTCCTTACTGTTTAAATCATTTTAAGTTAGTGTTCTGTTAGAGTCAAAATCATCCTAAATGATAAGACCAATATTTTCCAAATCTTTTTTTTGTCATTAATAATTCCCCGGAAGAATGGGCCATGGCAAAATAAAGAAAATGAACTAATGTGTACACATTACCTTTCTGAAAAAATAACAGCTAATGTATATTAAATCTTTACTCCATGCCAGGCACTGCTCTAAGCACTTTTTTTTTAATCACTTTATTGAGGTCTGATTGACATACAAAAAGCTGTACATATTTAATGTATAAAACGTGACGAGCCTAGGCACCTTTTATGTGCTAACTCATTTGATTCTCACAACAGCACAGTTATTATCCCCCCATTTTGCAGCCAAGGAAGCCAAAGTTCAGAACAGGGAAAGTGATTAGTAAGTGGAAGCATTGAGATCTGAACTCAGCCAACCCACTCTCCAAACCTATGGTCTTAACCACTGTGCTGGGTTTGCTGAAAAAAATGCGCTATGACAGTGGAACATGTTTTGCTTAACTCCAGTGATTTTAATTCATCCAGCCAGAAAGCCCATCATGAAAGCACAGAGGACTTTTTCTTCTGCGATTTCTCAGGACCATGAAAGAGTGCTACAAGTCCCATTTAGCAGAAATCGGGGTCCCTGAATGTGGCTTTAATCCTCTGTCAAGGAGGAGAAGTGTAACAATGAATACCCCACTTAAGGAGAATAGCCAACCTTGGGCTTGCAGTGGATTCCTTCCCGGGTTTACCAACAGGGCACAGTTCACTCGCCTCCTCCGCAGAGCTGTTGCCTCTAATCAAGTTACTTAAAAACGGATTTTAAAAACATAAATATAAATGAGTTTGAAGAATAGATAACATTCCATTGACCTCTTCAGCTGTTTTCTGGACACGTCTCTCTGTTCCCAGAACCCTCTGCCTTCTCACAACTGTTGCATGGCCTTTGCTCATGCTGTTTGTTCTCTTCACCTTGAAATTTCCTTCCCCTCGTCTCTCTGTTCCCGGAACCCTCTGCCTTCTCACAACTGTTGCACAGCCTTTGCTCACGCTGTTTGTTCTCTTCACCTTGAAATTTCCTTCCCCTCGTCCTCTCCTCTGCTTAGCAAATCCCAGCTCATACTGCAGTACCTCCCCTGCACTCTCAGCTGAGACGCTGCAACAGTCCCTGGGCTCTTTCCTCAGTGCTCCTGTGGCAGGCCAGTTTAGCACGTGCTCTGCAACCAGGCAGACCTGGAGTCAAGTCCCCGCTCTGCTGAGTTTAGCTGAGTAACCTTGGGCAGGTACTTTACCTTTCTCTAAGCCTCATTTTCTTATCAGTAACATGAGGAGGAGGGCGATCATCTGAAACTTTCTCAGGACTCTTTTAGGATTATGCATGCAAAGCACCTAGCACTTGCCTGGCACAAGGGAAACACTCCATAATCGGAACTCTTGTTATTTCAACATACAGTCACATGCTGCATAAGGATGGTTCAGTCAGTGTTGGACCGCGTGTACAACGGTGGTCCCATAAGGTTAGTAACATACAGCCTAGGTGTATAGTAGGCTACACCATCTAGGTTTGTGTAAATACACTCTATGACATTCACACAACAACGAAATCACCTAATGACGCATTTCTCAGAACATATCCCCATTGTTATACGCATGACTGTACTTCTTTTAATATTCACTGTTTTATGATTATTTATTTTCATGTCTGGATTTTCC